TGGCTGTAAAACTATTAGAAGTACTTTTTAATATGAGCGGTTGTGTAAAATGACTATAAAGGACTTATAATATAAAATATGAATAAAAATTCTAAACAATAAAAAGTAGTAAAAATGGATTTTGTTAGATTTCTTTTATATTAAATAATATGATTTTATAATTTATTTTATTTTTAAAATGATATAAATGAAGGAAAATTATATTTTCTGAAATAAAAATAAAATATGGTAAGGATAATCTTGTAGTTTCAAAAAAGCTTTTCGCAGAAGCTCCAAATCGGAGCTTCTGCTTTTATGTTATATAAAAGCGCTTTACGGCTTTTCAAAAGCCGAGCTTTTATAGGTGTTTGACCCTACTTCAGCTTTTGAAGCCGAAAAGCACTTCTAAAAGTCGGGCCAAACATAGGCTTTGTCCTCTCCCTTTTTTTTTGTTTTTGTTTTTTTTGTTGTTGCAGTAGGCCGTTGCTCTTTTGCCGTAATTTTTTTTTTTTTTTTGCATAATCGAGAGGCCGAGGCCGAGAAAGAGAGAGTTACAGGGGATTAAGAGGAGGAGTGAGTTCGAGCTGTAAAACATCGCTCGAAAGTAGTACCAAGATCATCATCTCTAAGCAAACCCACTAGCCCGGGTGGAGGATTAGCAAGCTCATGTACACCGTAGGGGTAGACGAGACTGTGCTTCGAGAGCCAGTCGGCAACTCTATTCCCTTCTCGATATACATGAGTGATGTTGACCAACCAGTCCTGTCCTAGTTTCCTGCGAATACTAGCAAGAAGAGTAGCATAAGGATGAATGGGGTAATCTCTGTTCTGAATGAGATTCAGTGCCAGCTGGGAATCCGTCTCTACCCTTACCGTTCTGCAACCAAGCTCCCACGCCAGATTCAGGCCATGGTTAATCCCCCAAATTTCCGCATGGGCAGCGGTAGCCTCTCCAATGTTGGCAACAAAGCCTCCAAGCCACTTCCCGTAGAGTCTCTGACCACACCCCCTACCCCCGCAGGACCTAGGTTCCCATTCGAGGCCCCATCGACATTCAAAGTAACCCACCCATCCGGAGGGAGGTTCCAACAGATGTTTTCCACATGGCGCTCAGCTGGGCGAGTTCTGTAGTCCGGGAGTAGTGTCGGGGCATGCCAGGCGTCGTGCCACAGTTTCGTCTTGGATATGATGGAATGTTCCAGAGACAGAGCAGAGAGAGCGGAGGTTCTTCCCTGAATAGAAGCTGTGCACCTGTTCTTCCAAAGAAACCAAGACGCCATGCTGAAAAAGGCCGGCCAACTAATCTCTCCCGCTATCATCTCCGCCTCCATGAGGTTCCTCCGGAGCCAAACATCCTGAGAAGCGCTGAAGAAACTATGCTGATGCTGAGGAGGGACATGGCGAGGACAAAAGAAAAGAGCCGGAGCGTAGTCTCTTAGAATGTGGAGGATCGATTCCTGCTGCCCCGTGCACTGCGCGCAGAAGGGGTTCGCTGCTGTGCCTGAGGGCATTAGTCGCAATCTTCCCCAAAAGGGTCTGCCACAAGAAGGTCCGAACACGCTCTGGGACCGGTAACCGCCAAATGATCTTCCAGTACTTCTCATCCGGGTCTGGTTGCTGCTTCGTCAGAAGGGTGAACGCCGATTTGGTGGAGAAGCGACCATCAGCAGAAACCGACCAGAAGAGTCGGTCCTCCTCCTGGGAAAGCTTGTCAACCGTAATACTCAAAATATTCTGGTAGATTTCACTCGGAAGAAGGTCGCTAAAGAGCTCTGACGCCAACTTCCATCTTCATGAGCAAGATCAGCCACTGTGGCCTCCTCCAACTCCATCGGGATTTCGCCTAGAGCCATTTCACGTAAGGGAACCTGCAAAACCCAAGGATCATTCCAAAACTTAGTGCTTCGACCATTTTTAATATTCCACGCACATCCATTCTTAAGAATTGGGATGGCTTTGGAGAAGCTGGTCCAGGTGAAGGAACTTCCCTGAACAGGTCGGAGTAAGCTGAGGCCATGTCTTTGTCTTCCATATTTCGCCTGCATAACCTGTGTCCATAACGTATCTTTCTCCTGCATAAGGCGCCAACCCCCCTTAGCTAGCATGGCAAGGTTAGCTAATCTCGTTGTCTGAGGCCCACTCCACCTTGACACTTCGGAGTTGTCATCTTCTCCCACGCCACCAGGTGCATCTTGCCTTTATCCGGTTCATCGCCCCAGATGAAGTCCCTGTTCAACTTGTCAATGCTCTTGCAGACTTTGTTGGGGATGATCTCAGTCTGCATGTTATACACAGGCAGGGAAGCTGCAACAGACTTGGTTAAGGTGAGTCTTGCTGCAAAGGAGAGGCGCTTAGCTTTCCACGGAGCCATCTTCTTTTGGATGCGGAGGATCAGAGACTGATATCTCTCACTAGACACCGCTCATGGATCGCTTGAATACCCAAATATCTCCCCAGAGCAGCCTTGAAAGGGATGCCCGCGTGCTGGCTCAGTTCAACTAATAGAGCAACACATAAAAAGCTAAATCAAACTGAAAAGAATGCGAAAACTAAAAGCAACATACCTAATATTTTGGAGAAAATCGACAACAGTAAAAGTCATTGTAGGTCGTACTCAAGTTAGAAATACTTTGATTTAACGATAGGTAAACAATGATATGTAGTGCTTAAGTCGAAAGAGGGAAGATGACACCTTACATTCTTTATTAATATGCATCTTAGTTTCATGTTTCTCAAAATATGCATCTTAGTTTCATAAATTTCAAAACAAAAAAGTAGTAATTCAATAAACAATTTAAGAATCAATATGGACACAATATCGGGTTAATTCCCTAATTTTTTTTATTTACCACGAATATAGCGGTTTAAGTACTATTTACAAAAATATTGTGTTTTTTGGTAGGTTGAAAGCGCTAAAGCCTTAGACTCAGGCGCTGCCGCTAGGTGCTATTTTTTGAATAAAATCTAGCGGGGGCGCCCGGGACTAGGGCTTTGGCGCTTGAAGAAAAGCAAAAGCGGCGGCGCCCCAAACTGAGGCGTCGTCACTGCCTTCTTTTCTTCCACTCCAGCACCACCATCACCATATATACTCCACCTTTCCTTCGGTTCTTCACCACCAAAAAAGTGAAAGAAGTTCCGAAAGAAGCTCTGGTGTTGCTGTCTGGATGCTGGAAAGATGGCTAATAATAGGTAAGAGACGTATTTATTTTTTTAATGTATTCTTCATAATGATTTTTTCCAGTTAATAATTAGTGAGTTTATTTTTTATGTAGTGGTTTTAGAAGATTTGAACTAGCTGTTCGGTGGAAATCAGAGAAAGTAGAGGACAATTTGGGTGTCCATTTCGATGGTGGTGTAAGTTTTTAGTTGACTATTCCATCTAGGGTGAACTATCATAAACTTTGTGATAATCTAATTCAGAGAATACGGCGTAGAGACGAAACAGTACAAGATAGTGTTGTGATTACAAGTTTCACTTACTGTCTTCCGGAATGGCAGAATGGTGTTTTATTTCATTATGCAATGCCTATTGTCGATGATGATAGCTTAAATGTGCTTCGGAACTTTATGGCACAAAATCCTTATTGTTTGGGTGCTGAGATACATGTTGAGCTCAGTGAGGATCGGGGTGGAGAGGAAGAAGATGACACATGGAGCATGCCATCCGATCATGACTATGATGACGGTGATGACGGAGAGGAGGAAGACGATGATGAGGAGGAGGAAGAGGAGGAGGACGACGACGACGACGGGGAGGAAGGAGAACAACCTAATTATCCTCCATATTTTTACTTGCAGGGTAATGAAGAGGATGAGGAATTATCATATGCTGATTCATATGGCGTAATTCCAATGCCTATTGTTGGTGGTTTTGATGGAGAATTCTACAAGGGACAAATATTTCACTCGAAACAAGATGCACAGGTGGCGATTAAACACTATGCACTACAACGCAACTTTCAGTATAACGTGGTGGAGTCGTCACCTTCAATCTGGAAGATCAGATGTTTGATGCACAGGGAGGAAAATGTCCTTGGATGGTGCGGTTTGGATGTCGAGATGTGGGAGGCAATTGGAGCGTGAGAAAGGGCGAGTTGGTGCATACTTGTAGCAGTACGACTCAACCTACGGATCATCGCCATCTTGATGTCGACGTTATATCTGAGTCCGTGAAACACTTGGTACGTGCTCAACCAAATTTGAGTGTTCTAACTGTGCAGGCCGAGTTGAAAGATAAGTTTAATATGCAAGTTACTTACAAGAAGGCTTGGTATGGGAAACGAAGAGCATTGGAGAAGTTGCATGGAAATTGGGAAGAATCCTACAATTTTTTGCAAACATTCTTGCGGGTGGTCAAGAGAAAAATGCCAACATTGGTGATTGATTGGGTAAGAGTTCCTTCGACTCAACCAGGTCATTCGATATTTCAGCGAGTATTTTGGGTTATGGACCTTGTATAGATGGATTCAAGAATTGTCCAGGCGTCATGGTTGTTGATGGAACATTTCTTACTGGGAAGTATAAAGGAGTGCTACTCATGGCGAGCTCATTTGATGGCCGGAAGAAGATTTTTCCAATTGCATTTGCCATAGTGGAGAGTGAGAATACTGATAGTTGGCCATGGTTCATAAGTCACGTTCAGGGTTTGACTAATCGAAATGATGTCTGCATCATCTCAGATAGACATGAAGGACTCTATGAAGCCATGAATAACATTGGAAGAGGTTGGGAGTGGAGGTGGTGCATGCGACACTATGCAAGCAATTTGCAAAGGAAGACTAAAAGCAGAATTATGTATAAGAAACTATTTCGAGTCGGAAATCCTTCTTCATTTAATTTTGTTCTTTATTTTCATGTAATTTTGTCATGAATTTATCTAACCCGTGTGGTTGTTTATTTTGTTAGTCGGAGAAAAACTCTTGGAGAAGTTTGATCGTCAAGTTGAGCAATTTAAGAAGGTGGACACTGATAAAAATATTTCATGTGATAACTGGGTCGACCAACATCAAATTCGTTGGAGTTTAGCACATGATAACTACAATGGTGGGCGTCGTTGGTCTATCCTGATATCCAAAATGGCAGAAAGCATCAATGGTGTTTTCAAAGGTATTCGTGCACTTCCTATAGCTTCTCTTGTGCAACATACCTATTGGCGATTGGTGGAGAAATTCGATAAGATGAGGTTGGAGACGGGACCAGAAATTAGCAGTGGTGCACAACAGTTCACAAATAGTCAATTTAGGACTCCATTTGCTAGCCTCACAAATAATTTCATTACCCTCACGAGCAAGATCACGTCCCTCATTACGAGCTTGTACACATGCTTCTAGAGCTACTCGATTAGCTACGGCACCAGGTGCATTTCCCCAAGGGTGACCTAAAGTTCCACCGCCAAATTGTAATACGGAATCATCTCCAAAGATCTCTGTCAGAGCAGGCATATGCCAAACGTGAATACCCCCCGAAGCTACGGGTAGGACGCCTGGTAGAGAGACCCAATCTTGAGTGAAATAAATACCACGGCTTCTATCTTTTTCAACAAAATCATCACGCAGTAAATCAACAAAGCCCAAAGTGATATCTCTTTCCCCTTCAAGTTTACCTACTACGGTACCTGAGTGAATATGATCTCCACCAGACATACGTAACGCTTTAGCTAGTACACGAAAGTGTATACCGTGATTCTTTTGTCTATCAATAACTATTAGAAACCGAACAGAAAAATTAGGGTTACCGATCTACCTGAGTCGCAGACTAGTTCGCTCTCTTTAAGACGTTCGCGGCACTGCCTCGTTATTCGCACAACAGACTATCAGCCGGTCGCCTTCAGGATAAAACAACCACTCTTTTGATTTGCTCAGCGGTTTTGTGCGAAAAAACGGAGCTCTTTGAATCTCAATCTCTCTCGTGTTTGTGCTCTTCTGAGGTGTGTTTAGAGGGTCTGTGGCGTCTCCTATTTATAGGAGCAGAAAACCCAGAATATTCCCTCTTTCTTTGGGAATAAGTCACATTTTAATTAGGGAGATAATTACTCCCATAATTAAAATATAATCTATTAAGATAATTATTCCTGATTATCTCCATAATATTCCTTTTATTAATTATCCATCTTAATTTCATATTATGGGAAAATACTGGATAATTAATTAGGAATTTCATTATAGCTTTTCAAAGCTATTCATCCCAACAATCCCCCACTTGAATAGTTTGAAACTATCTCTGAGCATCAACAGTTCCATAAGATCGGGGATAAGCTAAGGTATCGCGAAGATTTGAACCTTAGCGTAGTGGTTACACTTCCGATTTCATAAGGGTGACTCGTAGTCTTGAACCCTATCTCAGACAATGTAGCACACCGGATCTTTTCATTGAGTGATATTCTCTCATAGGCCGTGCGTTTATGGCCATGCACGTTATCCCGGTTTAGTAACGCTCTAGCAACTTTGTGCCTCCAAAGTTCCATAGAGAGCGGCCCCACTCCCGCATTTACATAGGTGAGTCTATCAGAAGTACTCCCAAAGTAAAGTACTTCACTCCACATATAGTATAGATCTCATTAAGAGTTTAACTCAACCTCCAAGGCTTTGGGATTCATGCTTCACTATGCATGAAATTTTCTCAATATTACTCATGACTTGTTATTACCCATTGAACCCGTTTCTTGGGATCTCCAGTCTATTGGGTCGGGTTATCATCACTTGTAATCCATGGTTCGGTAGGCATAAGTCTCATACCCTTTGTGGTATTTTGGACTTTCTCTCTAGCTAGTGCTTTCGTCAAAGGACCAGCTATATTCTTTTATAATCTCAAGTTCATCCTTTCGTCAAAGGATAAACTAGATTCTCTTTTAAGTGATCCACCCTTACTGCTCCAATAGTTAGGGACTCTCTCTTCCAGTATTGTTCTTATGACGAACTTGTCGCCTCTCAGCGTTTGTTACGGTTCTATTTAGCAATTCCTATTGCAATGGATCAATACCGGCGGATACGGTCTTTCCCATAAGGGAATCTCTAGTAATGACCCTCTCAATCAACTTTCTTCTTTACTAGCCATTGCTAGTTCTATCATTTCTGATTCCTTAGTTGATTGAGCCAGAATCGTTTACTTCTTTTTCTTAGACTGCCAAGGCACAACTTCTCATAGCTTCTGGTAATCTTGGAGTCCTCTATAGGGTATTCTAGTCCGCATCACTATACCCTACCAATACAGCAAAACCTTTGATTAAAAATACCAAGGTTTTCTTTCTTTTAAGGTGTCTCATGACCCCTTTCAATAGCATTTCAATGCTTCATACTAGGACATCATGTAAACCTGCCAAATAACCAACAATGCGGGTCTCATGTTAATCAGCTGCCTCTTGCAAACTGTCGATGCTAGTATATTCTAACTTTCTTAGTTTCTTACACCGTTTCCAGTGTTATTTAATATTTACACTAGCATCATCAACCATTTATGCAGGCATACAACTTGTATTTCTTCTAGATCTTAACTATGTAGTTAAACTGATCTAGAGGAAATCTATTTCATTGTCATAGTTACCTGGATCTCTTAGCTTACACAAGCTTCATCCAGATCATTCAAAATTCTCAAACATGGTTTTACACATCATTGATATCATGAGTCTTTATACAAAATATCAACATGTCATTCATAGTGCACGTGCCATTCTCAAACTTGTACTAAATGCACTTGTCACTTTCATTAAAACCATGAGAGAGAACCAATTTATTCATGCCATCATCTTAGAGTCTGTTTCGAATTTACAATGATTTTTCTAACAACAGACTCCATAAGCATGTTCAGGAATAACAATCCTATAGGTTGTCCCATGTAGATATCCCTATCTAAATCACCATTCACAAAATAGTTTTAACATTCACCTCATGCATGAAAGTTATTCTACATATTGGTGAATAGATATCAAAGAAATCTACAATCTTTCCTCTTCACCTAAAGCCTTAGCTACTAGGCGATCATTATACTCATAAACTAAACCATCAGGTTTCAGTTTTCCTTTTACGAATCCATTTATTACCTTGGCTTCATTGTGAGGAGGTAATTCTCAAATATGCCAAATCTTGTTTGGTTCCATCGATATATTACCCAAGGCTTTATAACCAAGAGGCAACTCTACAAGATTCTAAATCTTACTAGACTCCACAAATTCCATTTCATTAATAATGGATTCTCCCACGAATCTGCATATTTATGGAAGTTCAAACTTCAAACAGACTTGTGGGATCTTTCTTAGGGTGTAATAACAAATTCATAACCAAAATCCTTTAGTGATTTATGGTTCATTTGTCTCTTGTGAATTCATACTCAAATTCATCACCCCCACTAGATCCATTATTTCTAATAGTAGGCAAGATACCACCCCTACTATTTCTCGATTTAAATGGAATGACCTTAATGGATTCTACACAACAATGAGTATTTCATTTCTTAAACTTATGTGCTCTATTATTGATAGCACAATCAATAAATCACTCTCATGCTCATCTATATTGCACTGATTCTAAAAACATTTCAAAAGCATCACATCTTTAATTAGTGCACTCAATAATAATGTGATAAAGCATTTCACATTATTGTCATTCACCCATTTCAAAATGAATCAAATCCAAAGATTCCGATTCTTTAATCATGTATTTATGGGTCTTTTATCATGTATAAGGAAATCACGTATCTATCATAGCTACTATGAAAATGTGACTTAGATATTCAATTTTTCATCAAATACGTGCATAGCATACACATAAGAATTCATTATTTTTTTTTTTCGTTGAATCAGTTACCCCTTTATTAAGTAACGAATTGCCAAATCAGCAATCCAAGATACAACGAAAAGCAAGGATACCAAAACAGCATCCCCACGCAAAAGGAAAGAGCCAAAAGAACACTACTATCAACTAAACAACCAGCAACAGCAAACCACCCCACCCACCAACTATTGCAGACCTAACATGTGTAAATCCTTCAACATCAATTCTCTAACTACATGAACTTCTCTCGGATCCTCATTATGGTATCTCCTACAGCGTTCCTGCCAAATATAAGTGACAAACAGACACCATTTAACATTAATTCCACGCTGAGAGTCACGCCGCACTGCTGCACATAGATTCTGCACAGTCTCCCCCCAAGAGCCTCGGGCCAACTCACCCTGCATAAACCCCTGCATCAACAGCCGAGTATAACCACAAGTAACGAAAAGATGATCTCTTGTTTCACTTTCTAGGCCACAAAGAATACACCTGTCCTCATTCACCTTCCCCCAACGCAACAGCTTACTCTTCGTTGTAATACCATCAAGTAAAACCAACCAGGCAATGAAACTAAAGCGAGGCACATGATTAGGGCCCCAAACTAGCTGATACCAGTCCACAGCGCTGCTCTTTGGACGTAGAGAGTCCCAGACCCGCTTTACCGAGTATTTTTCCATAGGTTTCCCATCCCACCAGGCACAGTCTCCTTGCCTGCTAAGAAGAGACTGCACCTGTGAGCGTTTCTTCAGAATCCTCCGCCAAGCCCAGGAGCTATTAGAGTTCTCCTTCATGGTCCAGATATCCCCCGTCTTGCAGCGATAGCGTAGTGTCCAAGCAACCCAGATAGCACCTGATTTCATCAGCAATAGCCACAATAATCGTAAAGAACAAGCAGTATTCCAGGAGCTAAACTCCCGAATCCCCAATCCACCTTCCATCTTAGGCCTGGCCACCCTTTCCCAACCAATTTTTGCTCGCCCTGTCTCACTGCCATGCCATAAAAAGTCCATACAAATCTTCTGAACCCTCTTCAAAAATTTTTTAGGCAATATGAACACCTGCAGCCAGTATTGAAGTAGGCCTGTCACCACAGAAGTAATCAATTGCAATCGCCCTGCAAATGTAAGTGTTTTTGCCCTCCACGACCTCACTTTCTTGGTAATCGCTGCTGCCAATGCCTCACAATCCCTATCCGTCAACTTCCCTGAGATAAGAGGCAATCCCAGGTACCTTACAGGAAGACAACCCTCAGTAAACCCTGATAAATCCAGGGCATTTTGCTTATATCGAACTGATTCCCCTCCAAAGAAAACAGAACACTTTGCAGGATTACATTTTAAACCCGAATGCCAATAAAACTGCTCCAGCACCTGCTTCACAGCCAATATAGCTCTAGCTGATCCCACTGTAAATATTAACAAGTCGTCTGCAAAACAGAGATGATTCAAAGCGATTTTGCTGCACAATGGATGGAATGGGATCAGACCCTGCTCAGAGGCCTTAGAAAGCATACCCGAGAGTCCTTCCATTGCAACAGCAAACAGATAGGGGGAGAGGGGGTCCCCCTGTGTCACCCCCTTCTTAGCACAGAAGAAACCCTTCATTCCACCATTAATACAGATACTGAAGTGAGCCGTTGATAAACAAAGATAGATCCAATCTAGAAACTTAGCAGGGAAATCCATCAACCTCAAGATCATAAACAGATAATCCCAGTTAACCGAATCGAAGGCCTTCATTATGTCTATCTTAACAGCACAGCGTGATGAGAGTTTCTCTCTATGATAGCCACTAACCAAATCTTGAGCCAACATAATATTGTCAACAATCTGCCTGCCTTTGATAAATGCAGTTTGATTAAGACTAATAACACT